TTTTTTCATGGACCCCAAGACTTGGACAATTTAGGGAACTATTTTCTCATCAGTTTCTGAAGATGTTTATATAAAATTGGTATATTTATTTCAGGTCTATAGTTCACGTATCCACAGCGTACAGTCACGCTACACACAGTCGAGTGGGGCGAGCTGTTAAGGAACAGTTTTACGATAGTCCTGTACCACCAAATGCCTTCATAGATTTGGCAGAAACTATTGATGAAAATAAATTAGAAAATATGATGCAACAGTAAGTTTTACACTATTGATTACGTTATACTTCAAACTATATGAAGACAAGTCTCATTGCATATACCTTTTTGGGACAAGACACCTCACACAAGATTCCTACTCACTAAAACATCATTGGTGGCAATTCTCAAATGAGAATTTCCTCCAAAGGAACCCACCGGGACTCGACCCAGAAGACCAACAAAGAATAAAGACCGTGTAACTCTGCCGTAAAAGACCGTTATTGCATTATAAAGAATTTTAAAAATTGTCACTAGTTTTTTTATATTAATAGGGAATTAAAAAATAATTTTCTATCTTTTTTAGCAACTTTGACGTCTGTATATAACGTGATGATATTAAATTTTTTTCAGAGTAAAAGCGGATTGGCCAAACGCTTATTCCTTTTCAAAAGCACTCGGCGAAGAGATTGTGCGTTCTGAAGCAGAAAATTTACCTATCTCTATTGTTAGACCGGCAATCGGTAAATGCTGTAATTTTATTATTAATATATTAATAACATATAATATGATATGATAATTATTATTTTTAATAATCGAAAGTGATAAAAAAATACATATAAAATCGACACTAAATTTTTTTCAATGAAATACTATTCTTTTTGGCCACATGTTATTTTTGCTATCCGTATTATAAAATTTCACTTCACTTTATCCTAAAATTTGACCGGCGAAACTGGTTAAATTTTAGTTTTGATCATTGTTTTTTTTTCAGTTATTTCTTCATATCGTGAGCCATTGCCAGGATGGATTGATCCGATGAATTCATTGGGTCCCAGTGGAGTTAGTACACTATTATTGTTATGGCCATAACAACTGATATAAGCTCTTAGTGAATCTTACATTTGGTTACTTCGATAATAATCATTTTGTTGAACTGCATATCACACTAATCGTGAGCTTCTGAGA